GCGATGAAATGATTTCTTTTAATACTCAAGTCATAAATATCATAAGTTGTGCTTTAGATAAAAATATATGTGATAAAATTTCACATTTTACATATGCATATGATATTTGTAACTTTCTTGATAATATGTATAGATTTTAAAATTCTTCTTGTACTACTAATGATTTATTTGATGTGAAGGAGAATTATAACTCTCAAAATCAAGAAAAATTCCATGAAATGGAAAAAGAAAAATGTGATGGATCCTCCTTGTGTTTGATGGCTCATTCGGACAATGGAAGCAATCTTGAAAGTGATGATGATGAGATAATTCATAATCCCCCAACTATGATGAATTGTATAATGCCTTTGAAAGCATGCAATGTGATTTAAAAAAAAAATTGTTCTAAATATATTAAGCTATCAAAGAAGTACAATGCTTTATCTATTAAAAATAAATCTTTGATAGATAAAAATTATTGCTTGAAAAATAGAGCTACTAAAGATGTTTTGCATGATGATTGTTATGGTGAGAAAAATGATTTGAATGATATGATTAAATTTCTTGAAAAGGATAATGATTTGAATGATTTGAATGAGAAAATTGTTTTTCTTTGGAATTAAAGGATACGATTGCTAGCTTGAAAAGTGAAATTGTTATTTTAGAAACTAGCAATACATTTTTGGAGAAAGAGAAAATTTCCTTTATTGAAAAAATTAAATTTCTTGAACTTGATGTTTGTGAGAAAAATGATCTTTTCCATGTGCTTAAGGAAAAAGAATTACTTGCTAGTAAAGAGCTTGAACTTGAAAACGAATCTATTAAGAAGTTGACAATAGATGCTTAAAGGTTAGATAAAATAATTGAAGTATGCAAATATTCTGGTGATAAGAGAGATTTAGGCTATATTGATGAATGTTCTACTCTTTCAAGTTCTAAAACTATATTTGTTAAATCATCACCTACTATGCCTAATATTGTTTCTAAAAATGCTAAATCTAGTTTTGTGCCTATTTGTCATCACTGTGGTATTGAATGTCATATAAGACCTAAGTGCTTTAACTTGAAATATGTTCATATTACTTCTTCAAGAAGAAATTTTTCTCAAAGAGCAAAGTCTCACAATGATCTAAAAGAAAATTTCCCAAAGAAAAGTAGAGTCCATAAATTTGTTGAAAGTAATAAATCATTGCATAATGTTGTTTGTTCTTCATGTGGCAAGTATGGACATAAAACTTATTTTTGTTACTTGTGTAAATCCAATGCTTTAAATGTCAATGCAAGTACTAAATTTATGCCTAAACATAAAAATGATAGAAATATGCATGCCCATATTGAAGTTTGTGCCTAAACATGCTTATGTTGTACCTAAACATAAAAAGGTTAGAAATATGCATGAAAATCAAATTTTGTAGCTACTTGTCATTTTTGTGGAGTTAAAGGTCATATTAGACCTAATTGCTTTAAATTAAATAATGCTCCAATAAACAGTTTCTCCATGAAAAGTAGAGTACAAAATCAACATGTTAATAAGTCTAATGTTGTGTCACGTGGCAGAATTGGTGATAAACTCAATACTTCTTATTTGCCAAAAATGAATATTAAAAATGTTGGAACTAATTTAAAATGGGTTCCAAAATCCTTACTCACTAACAATGAAGGACCCGAGAAACGGGTACTATCTTTTGGTTGAGCTTTCTTTTTGTAGGTATGATTTCAAGAAGCTAGTGGTTGCTTTGGACTTCAAACTGGAGCAACATTACGGCTTGCTTGAACCTGACAAAGGAAAATTGCCTATTTGGTAACCTTTATATTTTTTAGATTATTATACTATTGATATAATTTATGGAATGATTATATCTTCTTGATGGGCTAGAGAAGTTTGAATTTGTCACTTGAATTTTATTGTTTATTTGAATCAAATGCCTTTGAGTAAATTGAGAATATGTTTGGCACTTATGTCTATTGATTGATTATTTATGGATTAGTGGATTAATGCTCTTGAGTAAATTACAAATATTTTTTTAGCATTAATCTTTATTACTTGATTGATTATTAGATTACATGCCATGAAGAAATTATTGAATATCTATTTTAGCATGATATCGAGGATATTGAGTTTTGAGCAATTTTGTTCTTAATAGTTTGAAAAATATTGTTTAATTCTCTTGAAAATGAAATGTGCATTATTTTGCTCATTGGATTAGAGATTTCTTTCTAGATGCTTTTTGGCACGAATTATGTATCTTTCATGGAGATAAATTTTGTGTTTGGATAATTTTTTTTATGGAGTATGTTGTGAAGTGAAAATTAGTTTAAGTATGTTATATGTCAAAAGAACGTGTTTTGTAACGTGTATTAAATTATTTTTCACAAGGGGAATATCTATGAAACTGATTTATATTTGAAATTTTCATTAGCTAGTTGCTCAAAAGAGTTTAATTGATTTTTGTAATTTTTTTTCTCTATATTTGATTGATTTTTGTAATTTTTTTTCTCTATATTTGATTGATTTTTGTAATTTTTTTTCTCTATATTTGATTGATATTTTTTTGTGGTGACATAAGTCCAATTAGACCTATGATCAAGTATATTTGGCATCAGTTTTTGTTTGATTAATCTTTTTATGGTGTTTTTATTTTCTATGTTTGTTGAAATTTGTTTTCGTGGCATAAATGGTGATAATGTTATTTTGACAAATTGATATAAAATTTGGTTTTTCTTTATCAATTGGTGTTTGTTCTCTAACATTTAATATTTTGGTATCATTATGGTGTTTTAAATATTACATGGATTTGATAAGTTTATTCTTTGAGATTAATTTGCTTAGCCTATCAATTAGGTTTGAAAGTTTGGTTTTGTTCATAACCATGAGAATTAAAATTGTTCCCTTGAAATTATACTTGTCTTATGCCATATTTTCTTGAATGAAAATTTTGTGGAATATTTTGATAATTTGTTTGAGAAAGATTGATCTACCATAATTTTTCTAAAAATATATCTATCTTGTGCAAGTTGTTGAGATAATTTTGTGTGTATTATATCTCCTTGATATTTATTTTTTAAGAGGAGATTGCATGTTTTAGGGGGAGTAATACCATTTACATGTGAACTTTTTGCCTTGAAAATATTGATTTTTCATATTTCTTATCATTGTTTATTCCTCGTTATGTAAATTTTTTTAAAAGTATACATAGTGATTTTGACATTGAGCATGGTGGGAGAATTTGCTCAAAATGTTTAAGTTTAATAAAGCTAAAATTGTAAAAACTCTCATAAGCACCTCTACTAAGCTTGACAAGGATTAAATGCTAAATGTGTTGATGTTAAAGCTTATTGAGGTATGTTGAAACTTTACCTATCTTATGCGTATTGTTTATCTATTTAGGGGAAGCAATTGGTAAAATTTATTTTAGAATTGTTTATAATTGATGCCTCTTGATTTTCTTGTATTAGAATCTGAGAGTAAATAATATTCGGCTCAATCTTTATTCAATCATATGAAGCCTATAAATGGGCACAGAGGACAAGTTAGTAATTAACAGAATTTAGTTATGGACTAACTAATATAACTAAGCTTAATATTCTCCCTCAAGATGGGAGGTGAGGATTAAGAACATCCATCTTGGATAGTAACCCAGAAAATATAGACAGAGGGAGAGGATTAGTGATAGATCAGCCAACTGAAGATGAATTTTGATAGGCATCAACTTAACAACATCAGAGAGGATTTTATCACGAATAAAGTGACAATCAAGCTCAATATGGTTGGTGCATTCATGAAAAACCGAGTTGCTAGCAATATGAATGGTCGCTTGATTTCACAAAAAATGAGAGCAGGTACTTAAGGGGAAATACCAAAATCAGTAAGTAAATTGGTCAACCAAACGAGCTCACTGGTAGTCGCAGTAAGTGCTCAGTATTCTGCTTCAGCAGAGGAATGAGCAACCGCGACTTGCTTCTTTGCCTGCCAGGAAATAAGAGAATCCCCTAAAAAGATGCAAAAACCAGATGTCGACTTGCGAGAATCAAGATACGAAGCCCAGTCGACGCATGAATTTGTAGCGAAGGAGAAGGTCGCAGTAAAAGACCTTGTCTAGGACTTCCTTTGAGATAACGCAACAGAGCATGTGCAGCAGCCAAATGAGATTGGCAAGGAGGGGCGCAAATAGAACGTAGTCTTGGGCGATGAGGTTGGTGCAGCGCTTGGAGGCACTAGAGAACGGGTGGGCATTGTAGGTGATTTTGCCGGAGAGGTGGCTGCCAAGGGCAGTGAGGAGGGTGGTTTTGCCGCTGCCGGAAGGGCCGAGCATGGCAAGGATTTCCATGGAGCGACACAGAACGTCTACCAACCTCAACTGGGAGAGTTTGAGAAGAAATGAAGCCACACAAAAGGAGGAATAGAGAACAAGAAACAATTGCCATGTAACGTAAAAAATAATATAAAAATTATCTAATAATCTAAAATGTCAATTCATCAATGTCACGTCAACCTTTCGTTAGTATCACAAACCATCTTTTAAAATCATTTTCTAAAGGTTGAGATAAAACTGTCGTTTTTGAACTTAATCACTTATTATTTTTAATGTCATATCAAATTGAGGTTAAAATACATTCATATATAGAAGCAGCTATTTTTTAAAATGGAGATCAAATTTAGGACAAAATAAAATAATAAACGAATGAAGTGATAAGTCCATTTTCAATTCAAATATTAATGGATGCTTAAAAGGGTTTTTCTTTCTTAACAAAGAGTCCAACTTTTGAGATGACAGAGATATATTTAAATTTGAGCAACAGATAAAAGTTTTTTTTTCTTTCTATTTTGTAATTTAGTGTATCTGATAAACGATGAAGTGCCAGGTCACCCAAAAATATCTGAAACGGGTAAAAATAAAACTGCCACGTCATCCTCATAGTCCTGCTCTTTCTCCGTTGGAAAATTCTGGAACCTCGTCTCCACCACAGATATTTTGTCTCTTCGAATCTTCTGGAATTTTTCCGTTTTATACGGCACCGTCGTTTCTTATCCTCGCCTTCGCTTATAAAAATCAACTCCCTCGTCATCTTTCTCCGTCGTCAGATTCCGCCATTGTTGTGCTTCGCTACTTTCTTGATTCTCTGTAACACAATGACGCAGGAGGAGGCTGATTGTGGCACCAGTTCGTATTACAGCATTCTTGGCGTTAGTTCTGGTTCTTCAATCGATGAAATTCGCAGAGCGTATCGCAAGCTCGCCATGGTAATTCTCCTTCCCTTCCCTTCCCTTCATCCCTAGAACGGAATTTTAGAGAAGGCAAATTTTTGGATTCTGAGAAATGCAATTCAACGGGAGAGAGAACATCGTCGAATTTTGGATTTTCTGTCTCTGTTTAGTTACCTTTTTTGTATTGTTGCTGATTTTTAGATTCTTCAGAGCTGTTGTGCTGAAAATTGTTGAACATTGCAATTCAACGGGAGAAAGATGATTAGAGAAACTTGGATTTTCTGGCTCTGTTAGGTTACTCTTTTCTCGAGTTACAAATCGTGCTCTGTGATTTCTTTCTTTGTTGCTGGAAACTCATCTATATGTTTGTGGTTTCAGAAATGGCATCCTGATAAGTGCGCGAGAAATCCTTCGCTGTTAGGTACAGCCAAGAGGAAATTCCAACAAATCCAAGAAGCCTATTCAGGTGCGTGAAAGAAGCCCTAATTCCTCTTAAACAAATTCATTCGTACGTCTTCTTCGGAATAATCCGTAAAATTGATGAACGAGTTTCGATTCTACTTGGATCAGTGCTATCGGATCAGAGAAAGAGAACGCGATACGACGCCGGAATACAAGATCTCGACATTGACGAAGACGACGGGGAGGTAGTTAGTAGAGTACCGAGTAGAACAGATCTAACTTCCTTTTCCTCTTGAATATCATCACTCGTCTGACAATTCCGCCGCCATTGTTGTTGTGTTGTTCTTCAGGGGATGTGCGATTTCGTGCAGGAACTGTGGTCGCTAATGGCGGAATGCAAGAAGAGAGAGGTAAAATTCTCAAATTCTCAAACTCTCATTCTCTAAGACTGCGCCATTGGTAGTTGTTGTTTAGAATTTTTTGTTCCGAAATTAAGGTCTTACGAACTGGCGCCATTGTTGGAGACAGGAAAAGAGCTACAGCTTGGAGGAGTTGCAGAGGATGTTGATGGAAATGGCGGAAGGCTTCGAGTTGTGTTCTTCCTACGGAACCTCCGCTTGTGAAATGACGCAATGCTCCAAGGAATTACGTTTCGACGGAAACTACCATGTACACGTGTCCAACTGATTTTCGACACGTGGTAGGGCAATTTTGTAATTAGGCAACAATCCCATCCTTTTAGTGTAAATTCAACAGAGTTTTAAAATAAAAGATCAGTTTATAACTATCTATAGCCTCTCGATTCAGTAAAATTTACATTATTTTAATCTTTATAGTTTTTTCTTGGAAATAAATATTTTTATTACCCGTAAATTAATTTGGTTCAAGTTTTACCTTAAATTTTAAATTTTATCCTCTGTTATATTTATTTAATTTATTCATGAACTTTAATAAAAAGATGTAAAATTTCATCAAATTCACAAAATTATCTATTAAATAACTTCACAAATTGGCTTAAAAAAACTTCAAAAAATTAAAATTTACAATTTCTTTTTTCGAAAAACTAGGTTTAATGATTTTATTATGTGTACAGAGTTTGTTAACGTAAACATTTATTCAAGCTACATAAATTGGAGGGGAGCAAGACAGTAAATATTGGGTGAAAAAACAATCTAGTAATCCACGAACCAAAATGATTCATTTTCTAATCTTAGAGAGTATTTTGAAATTTTAATAATAAAAAGGATCTAAAAGTTGGTTCTTGAAAATTTAGAAACCAAAATAAAATTTGAAAATTCAAAGCTTTTAATTTTCTATATATTTTATTTTAGTTCAACGAAATAAGTAGGTAAAGGAATTATAAAATATTATCTAAAACTTTGTTATATAAGTAAATTTATTCGACTTTTATTTATTTTAATTCTTATATTTTCAAAAACAAATTTTTATTCACTTTAATTTATGTACTCTCAAAATTCTCTTTAATCATTTTACTTTTTGAAAGGTGATAATTTTGGTCTAAAATAACACTTCAATATAAATTTACTTAACTCAAGTGATTAATGCAGGTATATCCATCCAACCAAAAATGGTAATGATCGAATATCCATTTTACATATTTGCTGCACTAAAATACAATACATATTTATAACTATATTTTCAAAAAATTATTGAGTGTACTGCTTTGTGGAATCATGATCAGAAAAATAAATCTATATATATCGATTAACATATACATCTACAATTAAAAGATTGTCGAACTGCAAAGATACACATCTTCCATTAAAAGACGGTAAACCATAGATGAAAAAAAAAGTAAAAGCAATAAAAAACTACTGGTTCCTCAGTCTGAACTGAAGACAAGACGCCTTTCTGGAAGCAAGCGTTTCATTTATCCCTTCTCCTTCTCCTCCCTTGTCATTTATCACGGATGAACCCACCCCTCAAATTCTCAATTCATTCCCCTACTCGATTCCCCCTCGCCATCAATTTCTTCCCCCTCGACATCTTCAGAGTGGGAATTTACAGAGACCGCCAAAGCAAGGTGATTATCTCTCCATTTTACAGCTCCCCATGGCGTTGTGCTCGCTTGTTCCTTTGCTCCTTCCCTTTTCCTTTTCGTATTTCAGTTAAAGGGATATGAGTGTTTGAATAAATGGAAATTTGCATTTAAATCATGATGAACAATTACAAGGCTCTGCCTATAATTGAAGAAAATACGTACATTATCCATGGACACTGTCCTATTTGCAGACCCATACCATCGCGATTGTACTTTTATCTGCATACTCATATAAGTCGTTGCGTAGATGCATATACTGAATTTGTATAAACCCTCTCCCGGACTTCTTTGGAAATGCTGTGGACCTTCAGATTTGCGGAGCTACTCTAGTGGACTGATACAAATCTCTACCTCTACTGCTCACGGCTTGGTTTCCAGGTATTTGCATAATTTCCCAGTGCCATTGTGTATGTTGCAAAAGAAATTCTACAAGGTTCATGCAATTACTTGTGAGGAAAACAGAGAAAATTTAAGTTCGTGAATGGGAAATTGAATGCATGTTGGGTACATTTCGGTAATGAGAATGTTTGTTTCGAAACAAATATAATAAACGACCAAGGACAAGTTGTTGGGAACAAGTTTTGGGAATGAAGAAAATGTCGGGAACGAATGAAAAGATGGTCTTCTATATATGTTGGTTGTTATTTGGTTTGAATGGTATTAATATGTTCACTAATGCAAAAAAGAAAAAAGAAAGTACATTCATGCGTTTTTAAATGTGGGTATCTCATGATTACAAGTTTATAATATGCGGTTAGTTGGGGGACAGTTGCCAAGGCGGTAGAGGCTGGAGGTTTGGGCATTGGGAACTTGAGGCAGATAAATGATGCGCTTCTTGCTAAATGGCTGTGGCAATTCTTCCACGAACCCAATGCTTTGTGGCGAAGGGTCATTTTGAGCAAGTATGGTCCTAACCCCTTCGAGTGGGTGGCTAGCGGAGGGCTTAAAGCTTGTGCGAATAATCCTTGGAAGGCTATTTCTGCTGGTTTTCCTTTTTTCTCTCAATTCCTAGCCAGTACAGTGGGGGATGGTCATGATAGTTATTTTTGAGAAGACATCTTGGTGGGAGATAAGCCTCTTTGTTCTCTGTTTCCTCGCATCTTTCACTTGTCTAACAAGAGGTTGCATTCGGTGGCCTCGGTGTTGGGGAATGGGGGGATGGGTTGTCCTACCTCACTCGGTCTTTGACAGATAGAGAGGCTCGAGAAGTGTTGGAGTTGATCCATCTACTCTCTGAATTTTCTCTCTCTTGTGATAGGAAGGATTGTCGTGCTTGGTCCCCTAACCCGTCTAGGGACTTTTCTTCCAGTTCCTTCTTCAACCTTTTATGTTCCCCTTCCTCTACCTCTGTAGCCCCATTGTTTACCTCGTTATGGAAAGTGAAGATTCCAAAGAAGATAAAAATTTTTGTGTGGCCGGTCTTACTTGGGAAACACCATGGATCGTATTTCTTCTTCTTACTTGGGGCAGCATTGGTGTGTCTTTGCAAGCGGGATTCCGAGGACCTTGATCATATTTTATAGCAGTGCCAGTTTTCCCAGAACATTTGGGGTCGGTTCTTTGAGATGTTTGAAATTTCTTGGGCTCGTCACAGAGAGTGGGGGTTCATGGTGGAGGAAGTGCTTTTGTATTCTCCTTTCCGCGAGAGAGGGAGATTTCTTTGGCACGCGCAGTTCTTTGAGATTCTGTGGGAGATTTGGTTGGAAAGAAACAATAGAATCTTTAGGGGGGTGGAAAGAGAGCGGGAGTCTGTTTGGGACCTCATAAGGTTTAATGTATCTTTATGAGGTCTGTTTCGAAGTTATTTTGTAATGATCAATTAGGTCATATTCTTTTGGATTGGAAGCCCTTTCTCTAGTCTAGCTTCCTTCTTCAGGGCTGTGTTTTTGTATGCCCTTGTATTTCTGTTTTGTTTTCATTATTCTCAATGAAAAGTTCGGTTTCTTATGCAAAAAAGAAAAAAATTAGTAATTTATATATCTTAGAATATACAAATCAATGAAATATTTTAGAACTCAACCTTAATTATAATTGATATTATATCTTAATTAGCCCCAACTTCCATGTTATATCTTAAAAGAGTTAGTCAAACTCGTGATCCACTTTTTAGTCTATCTTGTTTATAACGATGTTATAAGACACTTGACTCAGTAAAATTTCTTCCTGTCAAATTTTCATGTTATAGTTCTTTTATCTTATGTAGAGCTTGTATGTTTATGTTCTAAACTTGGTTTAGCATGGAATAGTTTTTTTATGAAGCGTTTGGTTACGATTTTGCTCGTCCTAGAGATGATAGTTCACTGGTAGGGGAGTTGCTCACTCTTCTGCCCTTTCATGATAAGGAGTATTTTCTTTGGCTCACTGGAGTTTTTGCTATTTTATGGGGTTCGTGGATGGAGAGAAATAGTAGAATTTTTAGTTGGGTGGAGAGACCTCGGGAGGAGGTTTGGTATCTCGTTAGATTTCATGCGTCTCATTGGGTCTAGGTGGTAAAGGATTTTTGTAATTTTCCATTAGGTATTATTTTGTTAGATTGGAGCCCATGTTTTCTTTATTTTGGCTTCTTTTGCTAGGGGTGTCCTTTTGTATGCCTCTTTTATGTTCTTTTATTTTTCTTTTCAAAAAAAAAAAAATTGTGCCGTAAAGATTTATGGTTGTTAGCTTTCCCCTTTGCTAATGACTTAACAACTTCAGGAAAATTACTGCAATGTCTGCATCTGTGACAAAAGGTTCTGGGATATCAATTAAATCGATGGCAATACAGCCTCCATCTCACCCTACCTATGATTTGAGAGGCATCATCAAGTTAGCCCTTGCAGAAGATTCTGCTGACTTCGGTATAAATTCTCTTTTTATATTCTGTTATGCTATTTGGGTTTACCTCTCATTAATTGTAATACAAATTGCATCTGAAGAATGAAAACAAGAATGGATTAGTGGCTGAAATTTTCAGTTGTCAAGAAATCCTAATCATAGGTTATGCTTTCTAGGTATGCTTTTGATCTTAAAGTCTTTTTCCACCAAATAAGAGTTTATAGACGTACTGAAATCATCACCGTAATTAGATTTCCAAACTAAGACCTACTTGAGTTACTTCTTTCTTCCCCATATAGAGCTACTGTGACAGAGGTCCAGTAAGACTTGATAGAATTTGAAGCAATTTCAATTAAAGAATCTCCTAGCCGATGCCTGTATGCCCAAGTATTATATTTTGATTTTCTACTATTTTCTACTATTTTCTTCATCATTTTTCTATTGTTTTTCTTTTTCTATTTGAGCAGTACCCAAAATCTGATTTTAGATCAACTTTCCAACCGCCAGAAGCTGTTATAAAGAGCCAACTTCCACCAACATAGGCCTGGCAACTATCTACATCAGATTGATTACATCTCCTGCATGTTATGTCATGCCTGAGTTGCTTTTTTAAGATCTAGAACCTTTATAACTATTTCTTGAGGTGTCATCTATTATCAATTTAATAGGAATCACAGAATTGAAATGGAAATATATTGATAACTTGCAGAACAAGAAAATGAAGATACAAAATACCCCAAGTAATTCAAGGAACTTGGATACGTCCTTCTTAAGCAAACTCAAGCGTAAACAATTTATTATTTGCTTATTACACTGCCTCTCACTCACTATTTATAATAGCCTTCTACTAATAAATTTCATAACTAACAACTGATATAACAATCTATTCTGATAGTACTCCTAACACAATTGTAGGTGATGTAACATCTCTGGCAACCATCCCTTCAGACATTGTAGTGGATGCTTTCTTCTTGGCAAAAGAGGATGGCACTGTTGCTGGTATTGCTCTTGCAGACATGGTATTCCAGGAGGTTGATCCTTCTATTAGGGTAATGTTGATGTTTTTTCTCTCTTTTTTCCCCTTCCCTTTTTGTCGTTCTTGTTGAGTTATTTACGAGGTGGACGTGTTCGCATTCATTTTAATCCACATTTATCTACAGGTGGAATGGTCTCAGAAGGATGGGGATTATATTCATAAAGGACTACAATTTGGAAAAGTTTCTGGTAAAAGTAGAAAATATCTAGGAAGCATATAAAAACTGTGTTGAGCATAGTGTTGGTACGGGATACGCTCCAAACACATGATTTGAAGTGTTTTATTTATTTATCTTTTAATTACTTTGATAAATGTTTGGGATATGCTGATGAGAACAGGGTTGTTTGGCAGTTTGGTTTGGTTAACTTTTCAAGGCTTTTCTTCCACGACAGTTTATTTAGGAAATTCAACGACAGGTTATTCTTATCCAAGTTGTTCAGTGAAGGCATATTGAACATAGGAAATCTAACTAGTAAGATCTTTGCCCTCCATGGCAAAATGACTATAGTGCTTTACTTTAGAGCCTGATATTTTGTGGCATTGGAAAATATGAACAAGTATGTTCGTTAGTCTGCTGGGTGGGTAATGGGTTGCAATGCAACCTTTATGACTAAAGTCCCATTCAAGGGCCCTTGGTAAAAAATCTTATCAAAAAATAACTTTATTAAGTTTTTCATTGGAAATGAATCTCACATTTGTTTTTGGAAAGACCGTTAGATTGGTATTAAGTCCCCTTCATGATCTGTTTTCCAGACTCTTTAGCCTCTCCCCCAAAATAATCATTTATTAACTTTTTTTTTGAACAGAAAACGAACTTTTCATTGATAAATGAAAAGGAACATAAAATGTTCAAGGATACAAACTCCAAAGGAGTGAGAAAGATAAAACATAAAGTTGAAAGAAAATAAATAAAATTACAAAGGAGAGCTAAAAGCATCCCAATTAGAATCAATCATGCTAGGTGAGTAATTGACGAAAAGATTGGAAAGAGCACACCATTGAGAAGCTTTGAATTTGGCAATGTGAAAACATTCCAACGGATGCCTTTTTAACCCTTCGAAGGTCCTTTGATTGTGCTCGAACCATAATTCATAAATAAGGGCTTTAAGACCGTTGACCCAAAGTAATGTAGCTTTAGGATTCATGTGTAGACCAAACAGCAACTGAAAAACCAAGTTCGAGACTGACTTGTCCATAACCCAAGGTAGATTGAAGATACCAAAAAAGGCAGACCAACAGGTTGCTGCAAATGGGCAGAAAAAGAAAGTGTGCAGCTGATTTTCGCTTGAGTTTACACAGAAAACACAAGCAGATGGCTGGAGAAACATATATGGTATCTTTTTCTGCATAATTTCAGCTGTATTGACCTTGCCAAACACAAGAATCCATGTAAGGACATTAACCTTCTTGGGGCTACCAGAATTCCAAAGCTTTGAGCAAAAATCTCGTGATAATGCAGCAAAGGGAGCCTTAAGGAGCTGACAGAAAAAGTCCCATTTTTATTCAGATTCCAAGAAAGTTTGTCTTCATCATCATTTAACAAAACCAAATTTAGATTGTCCAATAATTCAATATATTCAACAAATTCTCCATCTTTTAGCGACCTTCTAACTTCAATCCTCCAAGAGGAGGTGGTTGAATCCCAAGCTTCATGAACCGAAAGGTAGGGGTTCGAGGAAACCCGAAACATAAGTGGAAACTTGTCCTTTAAAAAAGACTCGCCCAACCACAAGTGATGCCAAAACAAAGTACGTTTGCCATTTTTTACTGATAATGAAGAGAATTTCTGTACCTTTTTCCACTGTTTTTGAATGTTGTTCCAAGGGCTACGACACCCCAAATTCTTCTTTTCTAGAGTGTTCCAATCAAAACAATCTGTTTCATAAATGCTGGCCACAACCCGGCGCCATAGCGCAGAAGTTTCCAAACTAAACCTCCAACCCCATTTC